TTAGTCTGACATACGTTTATGTATATACCTTTCTAGCTCTGATGGCATTAGTCTGACATACGTTTATGTATATACCATGTCTAAAGAAAGGCGTTGGTGCCTTAGACGTCACATGCCAAAGTGACAGATCAGACGTCACCACCACACATACACAGAGCACCCCTGCAGTGAGCAATTGCAAGCACATGGCTATGACTCATCTACACCGTAAAGCACATGGCTATGGCATGGCTATGACTCATCTACACCGTAAAGTGCATGGCTATGACTTATCTACACCGTAAAGCACATGACTATGGCATGGCTATGACTCATCTACACTGTAAAATGTGTGCTGTGGGTGGATACAGACCACTACGTACTCTTCCGCATGTCCAGATTAGATGACTTGTATATAGTCGTATGATCTAGATTAGATGGTCTGTATATAGTCGTATGATCTAGAATAGATGGTTTCTATATAGTTGTATGATCAAGATTAGATGATGCTTATATAGTTGTGTGATCTAGCTTAGATGGTCTGTATATAGCCGTATGATCTAGATTAGATGGTTTCTATATAGTTGTATAATCTAGATAAGATGGTTTGTATGTAGTCGTATGATCTAGATTAGAAGGTTTGTATATAGTCGTATGATCTAGATAAGATGGTTTGTATATAGTTGTACGGTCTAAATTAGCTGTGAAGTGCATACTGTGTAGTGATCTGACGCCTCTGCACTCATCCTACATGCAGAAGAGATGCTCTGTATACACAACCAACCAGACCACCAGCATGTGCAGTATGTGTACTTGCATAAACCCTATATCTTCTAAAACCCTAAACTTCACTATTGACTTCATATGCAGATACGGCTGTGTGTTGCGAGATTTGGACCAGAAGGGCAAAGCGCGCGAAACGATGCACCAGGCTGTTGCTGCGAGTCCTATGCTCTACTCAGCATGGGTCGATCTGGTGGGCTTATACGACCGATATGAAGACGTATGCATGCGATGAACTGTGTGTGAACAACAGGATATGTAAACAACAGTATATGTACACAACAGTATATGTAAACAACAGTATATGTAAGCAACAGTATATGTAAACAACAGTATATGTAAACAACAGTATTAATTCTATGCTCTACTCAGCATGGGTCGATCTCGGGGGCTTATACGACCGATATGAAGACGTATGCATGCGGTGAACTGTGTGTGAACAACAGGATATATAAACAACAGCACATGTAAACAACAGTATATGTAAACAACAGTATGAGTTCTGTGCTCTACTCAGCATGGGTCAGTCTGGTGGGCTTATACGACCGATATGAAGACGTATGCATGCGGTGAACTGTGTGTGAACAACAGGATATGTAAACAACAGTATATGTAAACAACAGGATATGTAAACAACAGTATATGCAAACAACAGTATATGTAAACAATAGTATATGTAAACCACAATATATGTAAACAACAGTATATGTAAACCACACTATGAGTCCTATGCTTTACTCAGCATGGGTCGACCTGGTGGGCTTATACGACCGATAGGAACACGTATGTATGCGATGAACTGTGTGTGAACAACAGGATATGTAAACAACAGTGTATGTAAATACAGTATATGCAAATACAGTATATGTAAACAGCAGTATATGTATACAACAGTATATGTAAACAACAGTATATGTATACGACATTATATGTAAACAACAGTATGAGTCCTATGCTCTACTCAGCATTGGTCGATCTGGTGGGCTTATACGACCGATATGAAGACGTATGCATGCGGTGAATTGTGTGTGAACAACAGGATATGTAAACAACAGTATATGTAAACAATAGTATATGTAAACAACAGTATATGTAAACCACAGTATGAGTCCTATGCTTTACTTAGCATGGGTCGACCTAGTGGTCTTATACGACCGATAGGAACACATATGTATGCGATGAACTGTGTGTGAACAACAGGATATGTAAACAACAGTATATGTAAATACAGTATATGTAAACAGCAGTATATGTAAACAGCAGTATATGTAAACAACAGTATATGTATATAACAGTATACGTAAACAACAGTATACGTAAACCACAGTATATGTAAACAACAGGATATGTAAACAACAGTATATGTAAACAACAGTATATGTAAATACAGTATATGTAAACAGCAGTATATGTAAACAACAGTATATGTATACAACAGTATACGTAAACAACAGTATACGTAAACAACAGTATATGTAAACAACAGTATATGTAAACAACAGTAAATGTAAACAACAGTATATGTAAACTACAGTATACGTAAACAACAGTGTATGTAAATATTGGGTGAATGGATATAACAATGCATGATCATAGGACTTGTTCGCCCGCCATATTATTTTACGTTTGTAGTGCATTTTGAGTATACATCTCTGCTTGTAGGGCCACCAGAAGTTAAGTGTGTGTGCAGGTTACAGTCTATATAACTTAAAAACTTATAGTCTTATGTACTTATACTTATAGTCTATAGTTTATATACTTATAGTCTTATATACTTTTATATTTATGGTCTATATCACTTACATACTTATGTCTTATATACTTATACTTCTAGTCTATAGTATATTTACTTGTAGTCTTATATACTTATACTTATAGGCTATATAACTTAAATAGTTATAGACTTATATACTTAAAGTCTTATATACTTATACTTATAGTCTATAGTTTATATACTTATTGTCTTATATACTTATACTTATAGGCTATATAACTTTTATATGCTTATTGTCTTATATACTTATACTTATAGGCTATATAATTATAGTCTTATATACTTGAAAGTCTTATATACCTATACTTATAGTCTACAGTTTATATACTTATTGTCTTCTATACTTATACTTATAGGCTATATAACTTATATAATTATAGTCTTATATATTTGTACTTATAGTGTGCAGTTTATATACTTATAGTCTATAGGTCAACGCAGCGGGGTCATATATATAACGGTAATAGCGAACTGAGCCAATGGTTAAACTATCCATACCATAAACACCTCTAACAGCCGGTACACTCGTACCGATTGTATAGACCACATAGTCGTATGGGTACGAGATTAGTATGGGAACTGTTGCTCAACTGTAAATTGCTTATGTCTCTCACTGCATGACAGATTCGAGAGCACACATTACCAAACCATCCGATGCGACAATTGTTCCTCGCTCTTGCCGCCTTGGGTATGTAGACATTATTTATTGGGTATATAGTAGTAAAACCCCAGTTTAAATAGAGCCTTTTTTCTAACATGTCAAGATTATATATATATATATATATAACACATACTATATATATATATTATATTATAATAAACACTATACTATATATATATATATATATATATATATATATATATATATATATATATAGTTATATATATATGTGTGTGTGTGTGTGTGTGTGTGTGTGTGTGTCATGCATACATGCATGCCTATATATATATATATATATGTGTGTGTGTATATACATATATATATATCGTGTATATATCGTGTATATATCATGTATATATCCTACATATATATATAGTCATCTTTCCTAGTAAAGTATCCAATTGACATGTTTTGCTCGCACGTCCACATTTCCCCACGATTTTCACCAAAATTCATACACGGTACAATGCGGATGGTCATCTGTGCTCACATCCCGCTTTGTCCCGCTTTCACTTTTCCTGTCTACAATATTCCCATCACAGAACACCACGATACGATCTCTGCTATTGAGAGGTACTCTCGACTGCATGCACTGCTACCGCAAAACACACACATCAAACTGCAGCTGGCTGTGAGCTATTTCAATGCTCGAGGTAGGTATGGAGCAATAGGAGCCATTGAGTGCGGCCAGGGTTTAGGGTTTTTAGGCTGTGAGTTATTTCAATGCTCGAGGTAAGTATGGAGCAATAGGAGCCATTGAGTGAGGTCAGGGTTTTAGGGTTTTCAGGCTGCGAGTTATTTTAGTGCTCGAGGTAGAAATGGAGCAATAGGAGCCGTTGAGTGAGGCAAGGGTTTTAGGATTTTTAGACTGTGAGTTATTTCAATGCTCGAGGTAGGTATGGAGCAGTACTACTCATCGATGCCTGTGCGAAGCAAATGTAAACAAGGTGTTTGGAGTGCACTTTCTCACAGTGGAGATATGAATGCCACACGCTGTGGGTGGTAAACGCGTACTGGATTGGTATTGTCCCGTTTTCGCAGATATGGACGAGGCCCAGTCCCTTTTTGAAGAGGTGCGGCAGAAGGAACCGAACAATCTGGAACGGGTCGACTACTACTCACACATCCTCTATGTCAAGAAACTAACGGTATGGTGGGGTGACGCACTCCTTCTGAGAGACGACACTGTGTGTGTGTGTAGGGCGAAGGGTCTATTCAGGGTAGACTGACTATGCACAGAATACCATGATATCACTACGTGTAATTGGGCATCTCATTGGTAATATCACTACGTGTGATTCAGCATATAGTTTATAATATTGCTACATGTAGAATATCATATTGTGTATAATATAACAGCAGCTATCATCCCACATGTATACTACATGGCATGAGCTCTAGGCATAGCGATACAGTTATGCTCCTCTCACACACCACATGATATACCACGTGTACAAAGCCAACATGGGTCCTTATACAGGTTCAAGCACGCAAGGGGGTGGGTGGGTGCCTGCCCTGTCCACTTCTCCATACTTTAGGGCTCAGTCGGTCCCTCTCCTTCAACCCATTCCAGAGTGACAATAGTCCGGGGTGTGGGGGTTCCTATATATATATCGGATGCAGAGCATGCCGGGCTAGCGCTTCTGCGTGAAGTCTGACTGATATGGATAAACACTCCCCACTACAGTTGAATATACTCAATACGTCTTTAGTATTACTGGTGGTCCCAGTGTATCAAATAGTCCCATGCTCAATATAGTTCCTATGCTTTGTACCTTTGGGGAACACGTGCGTCTGATGAAGGGCAGGCTGAGTTGTCACACTTGGCGAGAGACGTTACTAAAATTGACAAATACAGACCGGAAACCTGCATGGTAGTAGGTATGTACTTTGAGGATATTCTGCATGAATCGTTTTGGCTCTTTATATTAATAAATATATATATATATATATATACATTAAACTGTGGTGGTTGTCTAGCCTAAGACTCAGAAGTACTCACAGTATATATATATATGTGTGTGTGTGTGTGTGTGTGTGTGTGTGTGTGTGTCGTGTGTGTGTGTGTGTGTGTGTGTGTAGTGTGTGTGTCGTGTACGTACCGTAGTAGTGTAGTTACGTAGTGTTAGTAGTGTCGTAGTGTA